TAGAAAGGGGGAACCGATTACAAGGATCTACATATAACCTCCTCTCTGGAGGATGGACAACAGAAAAGTGGGTGAAGGGAGATGTCAGTGTAAGATATGACAAAATAACAATAATTTATAAATTATCAAAGGGTTCATGAGGGAGGGGCTGGGAAGGAAGGGGGAAAATGAGGAGCTGATACCAAGGGCTCAAGTAGAAAGCAGATGTTTTGAGAATGATGAGGGCAATAAATGTACAAATGTGCTTAACACAATGGATGGATAGATGGATTGTGATAAGAGTTGAATGAGCCCCCAATAAAATGATTTTTAAAAGTCCTTCATTCGATGTTTGCAAACATTTTTTAGTAGTAAAGTTCCTTCCCCCCAAATAAAACCTTACATGGTGCTCAAGGCTCTGCTCTAAGCTTGGCTTCAGTGGCAACGCAAAAGAGAAGTCACTCACTACAAGATGCACTGTTAGAGGGGCACAAACATCCTAGGGACACAGACCTGCAGAGGAGGTCCGGAGACCTAGCATGGGTGTGTCGGTGGAATGGAGCTACAGGAAGGCTCTGCTATAGTTGGGACAGGAAAAGGAGGGAAGACCTTAGAGACCCTGCTAGGTGATGAGGGATGCTGAGACCATGTCTTTACCTTCATACAGAATGCAAAGCTCGGTGTACTGGAGGAAGGGACTAATGGGGCTGACCATGTGCTGGCAGGAAATGCCATCTTTCTCACCTCCTATGGTAGTTAGATAACCGTATGTCAGCTTGAAGATATTTAAAAGTGCCTGGGTGGTATCCAACCTGTCAATCAGGTCACAGCCTGATGGTGCCTTCCCGGGGGGTGTGGCCTCCTAAGGGGGACTCTGGAAACCTCCCCTCTCTCTACCATTCTGCCTTTCTGCTCTCTGTGACCCTGGTGACCACCCGAAGAGTTGCCAGTGCCCTGCCATGTTTCTACCACCTTTGGATCCACACAACTCTGCACCCACCAGCCCATGATCTCCCTGCACCCTGCATCATTACAGGTGGCTTTGTGAGTCTGAAGAGGGACTTATGGACTAGCATTGGACTTAAGGACTTGGGTGAGGCTGGGCTGGATGCTTTCTTGATATCTAAGCACTTCTTGATCTAAAGCTCTTTGTCATACCTAGATGAATGTCCCTGGATTTGTTTCTCTAGTCAACCCAGCCTAACAATCCCCCGACCTAAGCCCTGGCTACTGACCACTGTCTCCTTGATTACAAGTCCTAGTCTCTGTCGAGCTCCTCACCTGGTCCCGGGTATACGGCGTGTCCACTCTCTGCTTGTCGCTGCAGGCTTCCAAGAGGACTCGGATGGCATTCAGTTGCAGGAGCATCTCACAGGCCATGGTGTCAAAGAAGGTGATGTTGGCAAGGGCTGCCGAGGCCAGCAGGAAGACTTCCCCAGACGAGGCCTCTTGGCACAGTTCTGAGTGGGCAAAGAGAGGGGGAAAGCTTCAGCGCTGCAACGTGGTTCCAGAGCAGTTACCTCACTGGGCTTCTCCGGAGCCGCGAAAGGTGTCATCATCGTCCAGTTTCTGTTGAGCAAAGTAGGAACTGGAGAAGGACATGTGTCTATCGACCTACGTGGCACAGCTGGGATTTGAAACCACGAGGAGCCCGAGGTTGAGCCACCAGTCCATGTCAGCCGCTAGTCAGAAGGTTTTCCGTTCAAGTCCACCCAGAGGTACCTTGGAAGGAAACCCCAGTGATCACCTTCCGAAACAGCAGTCATTAAAAACCCTGCAGAGCACAGGTGCACTCTGACACAGGTGAAGCAGAATCGAGTCTGGGGCAGTTGGCCATTTGTGTGGTTGGCATTTTTTTGTTGTTTTGTGAGATTTCTATCTAGCCCTTAGAGTTCTGGAAAGAAGTCCCTAATCTTTCAACTCCATTTTCCACAAACTTTTTCAGGCCCCCTGATATTGATTGAGTGAACACTGCTGTGCTGGGCTCTGTGGTGAGGTCTTTATTGGCATGCAGGACACAGAGACCAGACCTGGTCTTTTGTGGAGTTTGCATTGTAGTGCTGGGCAAGAGAAAGACTTTTTTTTTAATGTTTACAAAATTAACAGAAATAATCACAAAATCTGATAAATGCAAATGAAAAATGTAAGTGCTAAAACAGGAATTGCTAGAAGCCCATTACAACCTGAGGGAAAATCTACCGAAGAATGGGACGTGGCTGTTGAGGTGTTAAGGAGGCAAAGGGATCGGTCCTGAGAATTTTCAGGGGAAGAACAAGTTCCAGGTCAAGGAAGCAGCATATACAAAGGCCCTGAGTGAAGAATGAGTTCCTAACCCGCCTTCTGATCCCTAGTAACATGCACTAAAATGCTCCTACGTTGACTTTAAGAAAGAGGCTGAGGTTGAGACCGAGACCGCCGCTCTCCACGCCTCTCTAGTAGAGTTTCAGGCTTCCTTTTAGTCGCAGGATAAAAATCTGCCTGCACGAACCTGAATGCCAAGGTCTTTCTCTGTTCCATGGCCATAGCCAAGATTAGCCAGATTAATCCACTTACGTCTGTAATTGTATTGAGGGTCCTTTAGGAGGAGAAGCCCTCCCCTCAGCTCTTCATTTTGCAACATGTTACCCCATGAGCCCACATCACCTGCAACGGACACTGGGGACAGGAAGGCACACAAAAGGGTTCTGCCCACAGTGTTACTCCCTACCCTCATTCCAAAGGACTTCTGATTCTGAGCTTGATCTTGACCAAATATCAAGATGCTCTCAGGCCCCTCCAACTGATTATACCTCTACAAAAATAGCAGGAAAAGATGCCACACTCCAGGAAAATAGCCCTAGGAGAGGTAGACGCTTCCGGAGACAGATGAGTGTCACTGGACTTTTGACTTGTAGTTGAATTACATTCTCTTCTGGTCCCCAGCCCTTGTCTCTAGACAGAGTGCACTGTGCAGGCTTTAATGCTGAGCTAACTGCCCAGACCGACAGCACGTGTAACTGCCCTACAGTACATGCAGTTAATGGTCTCTGCCTAGAAAGGGGCAGAGCATGACATTAGTTGAATGCCTCCAGTGTGCCTGGCACTGTGACCCCATTTGAATTCTGAGCACCCGCCAATAAAAGATTATTGTCTTCACTACAAGAATGGAGGCGGAGACTCGGAGAAACAGCAGCAACCATTTATTCCATGTTGACTTTGCACCAGGCACTACAATATATTTTTTACCTCATTAAGCCGTCCAATTTCTATCACCGTGTTCCATAAAGGAATCAGAGATTCCAATCTTAAGTGCTTTACCCAGTGGCTATGGGCAAATAAGTCATGGTTGGACCACAGAATTAAACTCAGCTCTGTGCAACTCTGAAGTCTCTGTTCTTTCTCGGGTCAAAGCTGTCTCTTGGCTCTAGGTCCTTTTACTCATTCCCAATGATGACCCCATAGACAGACCTAGGCTTCAATCCTACCAGGAGGACGATGTCTGCCTCGGAGCAGCTGTATGCCCTACAGACTAGATATAGCCATTAAACAACTCAGAATCTTGATATAACCATCCAAGACTCAGATAATAGATTAGGCAGAAAACTTTGATTCCCTTGCCCAATATCGGCCCAGTGATCTGACTTTTGGAGAATCACCATGGTTAGTCAATCCATTCCAGACCACCTCTCCTGAGTCAAGATTCGGGTGAGATGATGAGACTCTGGCCCATGTTGCTGAATTATTTTGTCTAAGTCCCCACACCCCCTTTCATTTTCATGCAGAAGGGCCAATTGCTGCCAACGCAGCAATGATTAACACAACCACCTAAATGCCTTTTAATCTGGCTGCATTTATTTGAACGATAGTCTGAGTCACCTGGCGTGTGTTAAGATGATTAAATTGAGGAGCCCAGTGACTCATTTATAAAAGTTTCCAGGGAGTGGCAGGAAATTGGAGGGCTATTTCCCACCAAAGAACAGAAGACTGCTGAGTCTGAGTGGACACCACAATGTATCTTCTTCAGAATGAACTGTGGAGGGAGAGCTCTCCTCCAGAAGAAGTCTAGCATGGACCAAAATAGGAATGGGAATGTAGCACGAGGGAAAAACTCGTTGGTGTAAATATATACTTTAGTTTGTTTGCGTTAGTATTTTTCAACATTTCTAAATTGGAATATTTTTTCTAGGAATTTAAGACATTGGTCCCACAGGTAAAATTCAGGGCCTTTCCTTTATGAAACCACCCACTGGAATTGGCTGCCGCTCACTTCAACCAATGCATACATACCCTTCTCAATTCAACATAGGATCCAAGGCCTTTATTTCCTTCTCTCATTTGTGCCCTTTCCAGCTAATTTGTTTCACATGTAGGTCTAGTGAGCATTTGAGTTCACGACCCCAACCATCAATCAGCCTTAACACCATCATCTGTCCTAGAGGAAGTTCCTCTGTAGACCTACCTACCCCTGTAGACGTAGGTTTCTTCTCTTGTAAAGGGTGGGCATTGAACTTTATGCATCTTAAGTCCCCCACTCCCACCCCCACCCAACCCGACCCTCAGCCCAAACTTCCAACTATTGGCATCTGTGTTTTCATCATTTTGAATGAAAGTGGCTGATAATAAATCAACTTCCTCCCCGCTAGGCCTATGCATGTCACTATCTGAGTGACAGAACTCAGCCACCAAGTCCATTTAACTGAGGACTCCCTGGTGGCAGAGTGGGTTACGAGTTAGGCTGCTAATCACAAGGTCGACAGTTTACATCTGCCAATCGCTCCATGACAGAAATATGAGGCTTTCTGTTCTCCTAAAGATTTACCAGTTTGCTATAAACCCCAAGGGGCAGTTCTATTCTGTCCTACAGAGTCACTATGAGTTGGAATTGATGATAGCAAATGGATTTGGGCTTGGGGCCTATGTACAAAAATGCTTGCAGATCTTAAAAATCTAGAGACAGAAAGATCCCTAGAGAAAAGGATCCCAATCCCTTGTTCAATATAATAGGAAGATGGGCAAGTGAGCATTCCAGGGTGAGTATCAGAGTCTTACACAATCCCTGCACCAAGTTGCTGCCCAGCAGCTGTTTGTTGAATAGATTAACGAGAAGTCAGGAGCCAATCCTGGGTGTTTGGCTTCTGCTCCAGTGTTTCAGGCTGCCCTTGGTTTAAGTTATTCCACTTCTCCCAGCCTCGGTCTGGTGACTCCAAGAGCTGACCAATAATTTCCATTGATTTTCAACAAGACAGGACTCTAGAGTCAGAATCAGAGACGGAGCTTGAAGCAGAAACACAGATCACCACCAGCACTTTAAAGGGAAGGAAGCGGTTTGCAAAACGAGTTCCCTGAATATTGTTATCCAGCTAGCCCTTGTCATTTCTGAGGTTTTATAAAGGAAAAATTGGAGGAACCGCACATTCTAGATATCGAGGCCGGCCACTCAGCCAGGAGTACCTATGTCTGAATAGAAACGTATCTCAGAGCTCTCACGGCCCCACGAAGAGATTTCAGGCGCAAGCAGGTTGTGCTGAGCTGGTGCTCCCTGCAAAGCCATTCGCCCCGGCCGTTGTCGTCAGATTCACCAGGTGCAGTAAACGTGAGGCTTCAAGGATAAAACCTCTCTGGTCAAGGGTCAGAACTTCAAGCTACCAGATGCCATCCCTGTCCTGTCCCGACTCCACCGTGGAAGGCCAAGTAATCTCAACCTGACTACCATTCAAAGTACTGCGCGGGGCATGCATTTTGTTAGGAGACTCTTGGCCATAGAACTCCTCAGACGGGCCGACATCGCTTGAATGGTGCGATCACATCTGGTGGGGTCATCTATGTAGGTTGGAGAGGTTGGGGGTGCACTAAGGAGCCCTTCATGGCCCTTCCTGATGAGAGCTCTCACCTGGTCCTCTCACTCAGTTGTCCCCTCCCACTACATGACTCACTGATGAGGGCTGTCACGATCTCCTCCATGCTTTCCAGAAAGCTGCTGAGATGCTGTGTGAAGGGCAGGTGTGGAGAGGTCACCTGGGCAACCACAGCTGCAGCCTCAGCCCGAGTGGCCTCTGAGTGGCTGTTGTCGGTCAGGATGTCGGCCAAGCACAGAACACCATCCACCTGCAGACAGAGAGGAGGGTGAGGCTGCTTATGTTCAATTCTCCCCACCCACAACACCAACCCAGGCCTGGATTTCCAAAGTAGCCCAAGACTCAGGGTGGATGGAGCTAGGGACAGTCAGAGAGTGCCAGCAGAGGGATCCAAAGCCTGGCCTTTGGAGGTCTGGCCTTTGGCTCCAGCAGAGAGCAATGACTTCTCATTGCTGCTTGGGGAGAACACATCAAGGCCGGTGTGGGGGAGCTAAACCTAGATCATCCACCACACAACATGTAGAGTGAATACTCACCCGAGCCCTAATCCTGTCTAGTTCTTGCTATATGCTTTGGCATTAGCCACTTAGCCTCTCTGAAAGGTTTCCTTATCCACCGATGGAGGGTTAAGGGATAAAAGGACATAAAGCGGCAATGGCTGGTCTAAAAGAGATACTCAGGAAATGTTGGTTCACTCCCTGGGACGTCACCACATGCTGAGCTCAACATCCTTCCCTTTAACAAGAAAACCAAAAAGGATGCTTCCCTCTCTCTGAGCAACTCAGGAGCGCACCTGTGCCCCTGGGACCTGAGAGGCGGAGGAAGACTGCAGCCTCCCAGCTCTGCCCCACTTAGATGTGGTCCTGGAATCATTGCAGTTGCTGATGTTGTTAGCTGCTATCCCATTGAGCTGTGACTTTGCATAGTGGGAGGGAATCCTGCCTGGTCTGGTGCCAGCTGGGTGGTCAGTTGAAGATCAGACCATTGCCATGCACAGGGTCTTCATTCGTTAATTTGGGACAGTGGCTCACAAAGCCACAATGCCTAGTCTGTCTTAGTCTGGAAGCTCCGCTGAAACCTGTTAGCATGACAGCCATTTTTAATCCACCATGGAGAGCCAGGTGGTGGTCTCAAATCAGGTAATTGGCTACGGGTTGAGGCTGGATCTCCCACCTGGAAGGTGAATGCTACCCCCGAACCACTAATGCTCTCAGAGTAATAATAGTTCATGCTTATCCCGAGTTGACCATGGGACTAATACCAATGGAAGGGCTACTGTAGTATTATATCATTTCATCTTTTCAATAACCATCTCAAGTTGATCCCCACTGTACAGATCAGGACATTACAACAGCAGAACAATTGATTGACTTGCTTCATTCAGTTCACACACCTCAAAACATTTCCCTCTAAGTGGTGTGGTTCAAAGACCGGAGATTTGAAAATGATATGCTACGGCCTCCTGCAAAGCCACACCTGATCTCAGACCCCAGGCTCCATCAAGGCTCAGTGGATGAGACTTGCTCTGAGTAAATGGGGTGGGGGCCTGTATTTGGCAGTAGCGGGTCCAGAGGAGTCAGAACACTGCCTGGGGAACCTACCGCCAAGTGCCACGGGGCCCTTCCCTGCCTAGGGTGGGAGGCAGGGCTGGGACCAGAAGGACCATGCAGAGATAAAGCGAGGAGAGGCCTGTGGCAGTGTCCCCCACTCTAACACAAGGCCGAGGCTCCTCTCCCTCTGCCCTTCCTGCCTCTCAGCTCCGGAGCCTCTCCGGAGGCCTGCGTTTCCTTTCACTAATTATCAGCATTGAGTTTTGCGTGCCTCTGTTAAATGGCTCTCGGGAGCTGGAAGGTCCATTAGCTCCCAAAGCCTTTGGCAATCTCCCACTCGGAGGAGATGGATGTGCAAACACGCGCTTGGGGAACTGTCCGCAGTAAAACTCACCTGGATGTGCTTCAGAAAAGGGAGCGAACAGCAGCCAGGCCGCCCTGACAGGACTGGATTCAGGCCAGGCATTTGATTAAAGGGCCCTGGACAACGGGCCTCGCTTCCTGTGGGCCTAGTGAAGGGAAGCGGGGCTGCTCTGGGACTAGAAACCGAAAGGAGCCTGATTGTCAACACAAGAAACTTCTGGGGCCTGCGTGGTCCCATGTCTTCTTTTCCCCTCCCAGCACCGACCAAGGCCATTGCTCAAGACTTACAGGGTCCTGAAAGGGGAAATGTCTTAGGTAAGTCAATTTCCTGACTTCACCTTCTCCCGCCCATCTGTCCGTCGGTCATTCAGCGGTGGTTTGTGTGTGGCTGTGACCCTGGGCGCTATGCCAGGTGTATTTCAAATACCGGCAGGTTCACCCAGGTGGTCAGTGTTCAGTGGAGCTTCCCCACTCAGACAGACTCAAAAGAAAAGGCCTGGCCGGCCTATTTCCAAAACGTAGTCCGGGACCACGGCCATCCTGAAGATGGCGCATTTCATTGTGTTATCCGCGGGTCACCAGGAGTTGGTGCGATTTCAACAGCACTGATGACAATCTTAGCTCGGATGAAGATAAGAGGCGATACCCTGCTCCTTGACCCGGTTGGGAATGACCCCGTGTCCTTCCCTCGTCCCTGACCCATGCTCAGTGGTAGGCCAATCTGAACACACAAAGAGCAAAGGCCACCCAAGCCCTGGACCAACCCCAGCCCTGCTCCCCCGCCCAGCATGCTGCTCACCAAACCCTCCAAGAATGTGTGCTGAGTGTCAGGCCTTGTCCTGGGGCCAAGAGGGGAGAGAAGTGAGTCAGAGAAGATTGTCCCCTGCAGTAGGCGAGGTGACTCACACCCACAGATAAAGAGTATACGAGGGTGCTCCAAATAGCTCATGAACAATTGAATGAAAAGATAAGGGCATTTTCCCATGAATTTGTACAGCACCCTAGGATAAGGTGGAAGAGTCTCTTCTGCCGCCAAGTTGATTCTGGCTCCCGGTGACCCTATAGGACAGCACAGAATCATTCTAGAGTGTTTCCAAAGCTGTCCATCTTTAGAGAAGCAGATTCTGATATCTTTTTTCCGACAGAGCTATCAGTGGGTTTGAACTGTCAATCTCGTGGTTAGCAACTGACTGCCTTCACGACTCCGCTGTCAGGGCTCCCAGAATCGCTGGAGAGGGCTTGGAATCGGCTCTTTCATAAAGCCCGCCCCGACTGACTTTCATGCACCATCCAATGGCTGCCTTTGATCCAGCACATCCAGCTCGGTTCATCGCATCAAGCTCCTGTCTCCACATTTGTTTCCTTTGAGTCTGAGACTCATGTGATTCTCAGACTGCCTTTTCAGAAGGCTGAATAATTCCATGGTCAAATCTATCGACTTTGAATTAGACCATTTATATTGAAACATTTTGAAGGGTAGGAACTGAAGGGAGCACATCAACTAGTTATCAGCTCTGCAGGTCCAGAGACCACATCTCACTCACTCAGGACACTCCTGGCTTGACACATATTAGACTTTCAGCAAATAGAGAATAAACACAATACATTAAACTTGCACTGAGATGTGAACATACACTTTAGCTGAATACCAGGATCGTCATGGCATTCTGGATGAGGGGCCAGCAAAGGGTGGCACTGAGGAAGCAGACAGCGCTGGAACAGACATGGCCCAAGTGCCTGTAAGTGGCCCTGGCCTGATGGGAGCGAGCCCCAATTCCTTCTCTGCCCTTTGCATCCCCTAGGAGGAGGGTTTGTGGAGGTCTGGTTTCTATGTCACAGCCCATTCTCTTGCTCTCCTCTTCATTTATATGGCTCAGATTCTGGAAGCTATGCCACCAGCATTTCAAATACCGGCATGGTCACCCATGGTGGGCACACTTCAAGTGAACTTCCATGCTAAGAAAAAACTAAAAAAAAAGGCATAATGATCTGGGTCTTTAAAAACGGGCCGCAGGACACCGTCTGCCCTACTGCTGGAAGAAGGGTCCCTCGGGCCGGCAGGCACTCAATCTACAGCCGGCAGAAAGCTGCCTCCTCAAGACAGAGGCAGCCATCACGATGTGGCTGGAGCAACCCTTTCAGGACTTTGATTGGCATGTGCGGCAAATTCAAAACGAGAAGAAAAAGCTGCAAACATCCATTAATCATCAGAATGTGGAATACACACAGTAGAAATCTAGGAAAATTGGAAGCGGTCAAAATGAAATAGAAGGCATCGAGATTGCCGGGCTAGGCATTCGTGAGCTGAAATGGACGGGCACGGGCCATCTTGAGTTGGGCAACCATTTGGTCTGGCATACTAGGAACAACGGATTGAAGAGGAAGCGCATCATACTTATTGTCAACAAGAATATTTCAAGATCTATCTTGATGTACAATGCTCAGTAACAGGAAAATATCAGTACGTCTACCCAGAAGATCAGTGAACAGGACTATTATTCAAATTTATGCACCAATCACTAATGACAAGGAAACTGATGATTTTTCCCTTCTTTGGTCCAAACTTGATCAAACATGCAATCAAGATGCATTCATAATTATGAGTGATTGGAATGAGTAAATTGGGATCGAGGACTCATAGTTGGCAATACAAAGTCTTTGTGATAGGAATGACATCATAGACTACATGATAGCATTTTGCAAAAACATATATGTGGACCTCACCCAACAGAACACACAGGAATCAAATCTGCTACCTCTATGGAGAGACTCCATATCTGCACTCAAGACAAAACCAGAGGCCACACATGGAACAGACCATCAACTGTTCATATGCAAGTTCAAGTTGAAGCTGAAAAGTTAACACAAGTCCACCAAAGCCAAAGCATAACCTTGAGCATATTCTACTTGAATTTAGAGACCATCTCAAGGATCGATTTGACACCCTGTTCACAATTGACTGGCGATCAGATTGATTGAGGGATATCAATTGATTCCATACATTACGATGGCAAAATATCATTAAAAAGAAAAGAAAGCCCCACAATTGGTAACAGAAGAGACTCGGAAATTTGCACGTAGGCATGCAGTAGCTGAAGCAAATGGGGGGAAATGATGATGCAAAAGAGCTGAACAGAAGATTCTAAAGGGCAGTTCATGAGGACTAAGTCAAGCGTCACAATGACCCCAGCTAGAAAACGAGGGGGAACACACGTGGCATTTCTCAAGCTGAATGGACTGAAGCAAAAAAACCAAGCCTCAAGTTGCAATATTCAAGGATGATTCTCTGGGAAAAATATTGAACAATGCGGGCAACATTGAAAGAAGCTGGAAGAAA